ATATATATATATATATATATATATATATGTGTGTGTGTGTGTGTGTGTGTGTGTGAAAATGTGTGTATATAAATATAAATAAATAAATAAATATATATATATATATATATAAATATATAATTATTTATATATTATATGCGCGGGAAAATTATTAGAATTATGAATAATTAGAAAGCGCTCAATATCAGAGATAGAGTTAATGATATTTGGTTGAATGATGTGAGTTTGTGTCTTATTTTCACGCTTTTGCGATCGTCAGACGTCAGGTTTTGACTGACGGTCGCAAATGCGTGAAACCCAGAGTCACAAACTCACATCAATCATAAAATATATATATATATATATATATATATATATATATATATATATATATATATATATATATATATGAAGAGTACAGTGGAAATGGATAGCGGTTTGTTCGAGGAATTCACTTACGTGAATTGGGAAGGTAATAATCCTCTTCTTCTCCACCAGCTATGGGTAAATAGCAAGGCAAACTGGGTTCTATAGCCTTAGATGGCAACTGGTCTAGGAGAAAGAGAACATTTAAAATTAAAAACCTGCAAATGGTCCTTTGGGGTCCTTGTGGTACGTAGTGCACCAAGTCTCTGTATTCGGCTCTTTAAAAAGTGTGATTGGTTCTGATCTGCACAAAGCCTTCACTACTATAATCAAATCTCACATGCAGGTATCTGGCTGTCGATTCCAGGGTCTGCTCGACCCTCATATGCCGAATACGACATGTGTGTTTGTGTGTGTTTGTGTGTCATTGTATGAGTTTATGGTCTATTAAAGCCGGTTTATTTATTTGCCATGAATAATCTCTTGGTCAAACAAAACTCAAATAGTATTTTTTTTTTTTAACAAAGACCTTTTCCGATTTTCGAATCTTAATATAAACAATTTTTAGGAACTGACATTTCATTTATTAATCCAAGATGTTTTTATTCATTTTTTAAACTTTATTTTTAATGGATACTTACACCCTTGTACAAATTAATTTAAACAAAACGAATAATTAGTTATTATTTACTTTTTTTTCGTATTTTTTCAATGAAACATGACCCAGTGCCAATGTTAGTGTTTCGTATGACCATTCCATGAAGTCGTTCCTTGCAAATTGACCACAGATTCTCGACTGGATTTAAATCAGTAAAGTTTCCGGGACAGTCTATAGTACTTTGATTTACCCACTGGTAAGGCTTGTCAGTGTGTTCTTGCAGCGTTACAATTTTCGTATGCTTCCCTGGAGTAACATACATCGCAATCAATGGCTGTAGGACAACTAATAGACAGTCTATACAATAGTGTGTGGGCGTGATAAAAATCTGATGCAATCACGGCTGACGCAATATTTTTCAAGGCCAAGCAAATTTCATCATACACCCCGAAAATAGATTCATATTACTGCACACCACTGCAAATGACCTAATCTGAGAAAAAAACAGAAATCGATTACATCCTGTCACACCGGTGGGTCTAAAATTGACATTATGATGAAAGAAAGGAAACTAAAGCGGTTGTTTCAATTAATTTGCACAAGGGTGTATGTTTGAGTAGATGGTCTGCTTTTATTTATTTATTAAACAGATCACATATGTATATTTATTGAACTGGGTAGATATGTCTATTTAGAGAATCGGGAAAAATCTGTGTTCAAAAGGAGAGATGTTGTTTTTCGTGAACAATTTCTCTATGCGGAGGTGTGCTTTCCTTAAAAGGAAAAGTACCGGCTTTTGTAGACGAGTGCAATGCACGCAAGATTAAAGGGCGGTTTTTCCTTCAAAGGAAGACTCGGGTTCACTTCCGGTCGTATGGTACATTCTTTTTTATTGATATTTCTCGAATATGCAAGCCGAGAGTCGTGATACACACAGTTTAAATTAAAAACAAAAAAGGGTCGTCTAGTTTAAACACGAGTATCCACTATAATAGAAAGTTTATCATTTTTACTCTAGTTTTGGATTGAGGATCAAATCAACTAAAATCACCTGTGAGTTCAAATATAAAAGCTGATTATTATTTTAATTTCACTCCACGTACGGCAATAAAGCCACTAAGACGCAAATTCTTAGTGAGATTTAGAGAATATGCCAAATAAAAAATAAGAATTAAGAAGACAGAAGAAATATCTTTGATAACTAAGAAAAAAATAAGATTTTCACTTGAGATATTTTAACAAATTATACAAGTAACCACGAAGATACAATGAGTTTTATTATTATTATTATTATTATTATTATTAATATAGTATGATAACCATCTATTATTATTAATATAGTATAATAACCTCTAATCTCTTGGGAAGAAACCCCGCTGACATTCTGTTATACCAGAACATTACCTATTCTATTGAAATAGACTCTCCCACACATAAGTAGTAGTAGTAGTAGTAGTAGTAGTAGAGGTCGCCAGTTGGGCTCAGTGGAGTTGAGTGAGTCAGTCGATGTCGGACATTGACGTATCAACCACCACAACTAGATTGCTGCGTCATTAA